TCAATTTTATTTATTTATTTATTTAATTATTCTTATTGTATACATTTCAATTTTATTTATTTATTTGTTAGTTTGTCAGTTGTCTTGATTTATTTGTTGGTTTAAAATTAAAACTTTTAAAAATTTTAAATTTTAAATGAATCATTCTCATCTCTTCTATAAAAGTTCTATTTTAAAGTTTAATTTAATTTAAGTTTAAGCTTCTTAAGGTTAGTCTTAGTGTTAGATTGGTAACATTGGGATTGGTTTGATTGACTGATTTAGTTACTAATTAAATTTTTTTATTTTTTCTTAAATTAGTTTTAGTAACTATCTAGTCAAACTAATCTAACACTAACCCTCACCTTTACCTGATTTATTAGAATTGTTGCATTGTTAAAGTTTGAAATTGATTGAATTAATTAAAAAATATTATTATATAGCAATGATGTACCAATAGATATCCATTAAAATTATATAATTTATAACAGAAAACTTATGTAAAATATTAATTTATTATGAAAATTTAAAAAAAAAATAATTTTAATCATGTATTTAATTTTATTTTTTTCTATAATTACCCATATAATTTTTAACAATCTTGTCTTAATTAAATTAAAGTAATACAAAGACAATGTGATGTGAATCTTTCATCATTGTCTTTATTACTTAGTTACCTACCAAATATAATATGTGTGTGTGTGTGTGTGTGTGTGGTATGTGTGTGTGTGTGTGCGTGCCTGCGCGTGTGTGCGCGTGTGTTAAGTTTATTATTTGTTTACACAATGTTTCAATTAAACAATTCTAGAAATGTCCAAATTTTACTACTACAAAAGTATTTGTTGTTGTTGTTGTTTTCATTCTCTCATTCAATTGGTTCTTACTGTTGATGCTAATGAGGTCATGTTGTTTATGCTAATGAGGTCAAGTTTGTTATTTTTGTTGCTATTATTATTATTACTTTTATTACTGTTATTATTAATGTTACTGTTGTTGTTTATTGCATTTATATTACTACTGCTACTACTACTACTACTACTACTACTACTACTACTACTACTACTACTACTACTACTACTACTAATACTACTACTACTACTACTACTACTACTACTACTACTACTACTACTACTATTACTACTACTACTCCTAATAATAATAATAATAATAATAAAATAAAAAGTGGCAACAATTTCAAGAACACAGCCGACTTGGTCGTCATGAGTGTAACATGCTCTGTTCACACAAACTGCATAAATTTGAGTGTGTGTTTGTGTGTGTGTGTGTGTTTGTATTTATGTATAAATGTATGTATGTGCGTGTGTGTGTGCGTGCGTGTGTGTGTGTGTGTGTGTGTATGTGCGTGTGTGCGTGCGTGTGTGTGTGTGTATAAAAGTTCGGGTTTTTTCATCTCATCAGGTTGGTTCGAAATGGGTTTGTCAATAGGATGTATCTGTAGAAATAAGTAATATTTATACTGAGTAGTAGTAGTAGTAGTAATAAGTATAATAAATAATAGTAACTTTTACGGATGTGTTTTTGGTTTGAATTTTTTTGATATGTTGAATAACCTTACTGGATTGGTCTGATCATTTGGTTGGTTTGTTGGTTGGTTGGTCGGTCGGTCGGTTGATTGGTTGGTTGATTGGTTGGTTAGTTGGTTGATTGATTGGTCGGTTGATTGGTTGGCTGGTTGGTCAGATGGCTGGTTTGTTAAAATTTCTTGGACGGTTAGTTGAGCAGTTAGTTAATCAATCAAATAGTTATCTGACTGACAGCTTATTTGGTCGATTTTTCCACTTCATTTTGAAATTTCTTAAATCCCACCTTAACCTGTATGAAAATTGTGTGGACTAACAATCCTTTTTACAAAATCATTTCCTCCATCTACAATCACAAAATTATAAACACTAATGACTTAACTTGTGAATGAAATGTCATAGCTACGTTTTAACTTCTAACTAGAAACAACTTGTTTATAGAAACATCCAGAAACTAGAATCTTGTACTAGTTGTCTGGTTTGAATCGATAATTTCATCAATAAAATAATGAAAATAAGTAATAATAAATAAGAATAAAAATAATTCATTCATAATACAATAGGCCTAGATGTAGCTCTTTTTTTCATTAGTATCAGTTGTAATAAGAGGATTGTGATCGCCATCTTAATACTAATAACAGTAGAAACAACAATAACAATAATAACAACTACAATAGTAACAATAATAATAATATCAATAATAACAACAACTACAAAAATAATAATAACAATAATGGTGCAAACATCGGTGACATGTTGTTTAAAAAATTGCCATGACATGGTTCAGCTAGCAACAACAATCGCAACAATAATAACAACCATAATAACAACAACACTAACAATAACAACAACACTAACAATAACAACAACAATAATAATAATGAACTTTGTTGATGATGTTTATGTATTTATAAGCAATGTTGAATAGATACTATTTTATAAGGCTTGCGTAGGTATGTTCTTATATTGGGCTAAGAACTTCTCAAGCTATTACTGCTACTACAATTTACCGTAAATTTACAATTTACAAATCACCACTTGCTAATATTAAACTTTTTACTACTACAGACCCGGGAGCAACGACTACAATGTTAAAATCCGCTTAAAATGAGCCCAAACAACAACAACAACATCAGTTGGGAATGAATTTAACAGCAAATGACAAACATCAGCAGCCAAATACTGATTGCTAAAGCAAAATTAAGTAGTATGTAACAAGGAAATTAAATCGTACAACTTGAAACTACTACTCTACAACAAAAAATCGGCTCAACTGCTACTACTACTGCTGCTACTACTGCTGCTGCTACTGCTGCTACTACTGCTGTTAACTAGGACATTAGCATTGAAGTAAATTCAACTGCCAGTAATACATCACAACAACAACAACAACAGTCTTTTGCTAATGACGTTAACCCCGCTATCAATCGCAGAGCCAACGTTTGTTGTTGTAACACCGAATCAGCAACACCAACAACAATATCTACTTCAACAACATCATCTTAAAAGACATCAACAACATCTTCAAGACCAGCAACATCAAGATAAACTACAACGTCAGTCGCTATCAGATCAACTGCATCGACCACAACAGCCACATCAACAGCGGTCGAATAATACAACTGCAGATATGGGTCCAAGACAACAACAACAACAACAACAAAACCAGCAACAAAACATTCCACAACAATCAACGCACTATCAACAACAACTACACCAACACATCCAACAACTTCCGGATTACATGAAACCCCTCTTAAAATCATCACCATCTCACGAAGATCTCAACCAATCCAACCACCACCAAAAACTTCCCCCCACACCCTCGCCACAGCTGCCGCAACAACCACAGCCTACCACCACACCAAGACCTCTTACCACACCACAACAACCGTCAATAGATGATCTCTTGAACTCTGACCTCGGATCAGGGCAGTACCAGATATATTACTTCATAGTCACATTCATATTTTCATTCATCGCAACCGACAGCATAGCTATCAATTTTCTGGCCGGTCGTATGGAGCCCACGTGCGTCAACTACACCACAAGTGGTAGTAGTAGTGGCAGTGGTGGTTATAATGGTGGTTATAATCGTGTTCAGAAATATGATTATGACGGTATGCTTACGTCATCGTCTTCGTCATCATTACCCACGCAATCGTCCTTTTCGTTGATAGTTTCACCGCCACCGGAGCAACACGAACCTCAAGAGCAGCAGCAGGCGCAACTACAACTGCTACAACTACAACAACATCGACAGCAACAATGTGAACTGCTGACGGCAAACAGAACGAAATTAACGTGCATCCAATGGAAATATGATAAGTCCATTTATGTATCATCTATCGTTAGCGAGGTTGGATGAATGTTTTTGTTGTTGTTTGGTTGGCTGGTTGGTTGGCTGGTTGGTTGGCTGGTTGGTTGGCTGGTTGGTTGATTGGCCAATTGGTTGATTGATTGAGTGATAGATTGATGAATGAATCTCCAGTTCAATCTTGTCTGCAAGCACAATTGGATGGTTGATTTGGTTTCCACGTTCTACATGCTTGGTCGTCTCGTGGCTTGCTTGACACATGGATATCTTTCTGATAAGTTAGTTGAATGGTTGATCAACTAAATGGTTGTATGGATGGTTGATTGGTTGATTAATTGGTTGGCTAGCTAATTGACTGGCTGATTATTGGTTGACTGGCTGATTATTGGTTGACTGATTGATTTATTAAACGATTTATCGATTGATTGATTGATTTGATTTTATTAATTGATTAATAAACTGACTAACTGATTAGTTAGTTGATTGGTTAGCTGATTGAGTTGCTATGTTACAACCTACTCTAGACACAATCAATCGCATGGATACCTTGTTCGAACGCAAAGAGATCCATAACTATTGCTATGTTTTTTCACACGTTGCCCGTGATTGGGGATCTGTTCGCATTTGAATCCAGTCAATGCAATAGCAGTGACAGGCATCTTAACCATTACACTACCGAGATACCAAATCTGAATTTTGACCTCTTTCGAATCCAGCTGTCATTGTTTACTTTTTAAACAAAAATTTTCGGGATTTGTGATGAGTGCATTTTATTTTAACCTCTTCCTCAGTGGAGTGAGCAATAGTAATTAAAATATAATAAAATTATAAATACTACTACTACTACTACTGATAATAATAATATAATAATAATAATTCAAAGGTTAATAGATAAAGGTTTTCAAATCATTTTTATGAATTAATTTGAAGAAGTTTTTTTTTGGCGAAATCCTTGATATTATTAACTTGAGTTTGTTATTCTTATTATTGAAATTGAATTACTATTATTATTATTACTATATTTTGATTATTATTATTATTATTATTCAAAATCTCCACATGTTAACCAGATGTGCAAGCGGTTTTGGTATAATCTAGTCACGTTTCAGTATTTGTAGTTCAATTTAATTTGTTTAAAGATGTGTGTGTGTGTGGTGTGTGTGGTGTGTGTGTGTGTGTGTGTGTGTGTATTAGCGCTATCAAAAGCATTCATCATTGTCACCATCATCATTCTTGTCATCATCATCATCATGACCATCATCACCATCTTGACCGTCGTTATCATGACCACAGATATGGCCGCAAAACTGTTCTGCTGGCGTCTCACGTTATGAAGTTGTTCGGTGAGTTACTTCATTTACCACCACCATCGTCTGTCGCTAGCTTTTGAATCCCATCCGTTCGCTCCAAAGTCAAATGATCTACCGCTACTCTATTAAATTTACGCTCCTGTTTATTCTACATCCATTCGTTACGGTGATGACGAGCATTTGAAAGCGTTTGTACTTAGGTGCCAACATAAGTACCGACATTTTCACGTAAATATTCATACATAGGCTGATGAAGCCAGGCTATAAAATGAAACAGATGCGCAGCACAACGTGTTGTGTATTGATTTTTACGAGCAAGACCGTCATGTGTGTTATTCTATTTGAGTGCATTTTATGGGCACTCACTCCAGCACTAATATGTTGATATTATCATTGATCAATTTTCCATTTCATATGCTGCATCATTTTTTTATTTACACGTTCCTTCGTCCATTCTTTCATTCATTTATTCGTCCATTCATCCATCAGGCAGTGTCCTCTCCTTGTACTCACCCAACTACACAGCATTCAACTTTTCCAGGTTCATCATCGCGTTTGGATCCACGGCCACATATATGGCCGCCTTTGTGCTTTGTGAGTTGGTTGGTTGGTTGGTTGGTTGGTTGTTTGGCTGACTGGCTGGCTGGTTGGTTGGTTGGTTAGCTGGCTGCCTGGCTGATTGGTTGGTTGGCTGGTTGGTTGGTTGGTTGGTTGGTTGGTTGGTTGGTTGGTTGGTTGTTTGGCTGACTGGCTGGCTGGTTGGTTGGTTGGTTGGCTGGCTGGCTGGCTGGCTGGCTGATTGGTTGGTTGGCTGGCTGATTGGTTGGTTGGTTTGCTAAATACGTAGTTGATTGGCTAGTTGGCTGATTGTTTTATTGTTTGAATGATTCTTGAGAAGATGATTGATGCCGTTCTAACGTCACATGACATTGCTATCATAATTTCCATCACCTCTCATCTCATCTCACCACCATCACCTCCACCTCCATCCCCACTGCAAACCACCACTCTGTCCTCCTTCATATTCTCCAATCTTCTTCTTTTGAATTTTTTTGGCTCAGCTATTTTTTATTGCCTGGCAAATATAAAATAAAACATAGATAACGCAGAGGTCGCTATTTGTTCTTTGCTACAAACCACAACCACCCACAACAACTCAGTAATTGAAGTGACCAGCACGAGTTGGCGTAGGTGGATGGGCATCCTGTTGAATGCGGCAGTGGGGGTTGGAGGTTGTCTGTTACCCCTTGTAGCCTACCTCGTCAGAGATTTCAGAAATTTGCAAGCCGTCTATACTTGGCCACAGTTCGTGCTGCTTATTAGCTTATTGTGAGTTGTCTGTTGGCTGTATGTCTTACTGTGTCTTTGAATCGTTTTTGCGGTGTCTCGTTTCGGTCTCGTTTTGTCTCGTTTTGTATCGTTTTGTGTCGTTATGCGTCTTTCAATGTTAGCCATGAGTCTGTCTAGTTTCGACATCTTTTATAAATCTATTTATTACTTCTCTTGTTAGCTTTGTTTTGGTGAACATTGTTTACAATTATAACGGTGTTCATCATCACCATCGTTATCATCATCATAACCATCATCATAACCATCATCATCATCATAACCATCATCATCATTACAACGTCGTCATCATGATCATCATCACAACTTCATTATCATCATCATCACAACGTCATCATCATCATCATCATTTTAAAAGTTTTTTAGACGAATCACCGAGATGGTTGATGAGCAGAGGACGAGTTGAAGCTAGTATGAAAGTGATGAAGAAGATCGCCATGTTGAATGGAACTGATGCCCTCTTTACTGCTACTGCTGCTACAACTGCTGCTACTGTTACTACAACTGCTGCTACTACAACTGTTGCTACTACTGTTGCCACAACTGCTGTCGCCACAACTGCTGCTACTACAGCTACAAAGTATGTAGTTACCACACCAGCCCAAACAACAACATCAGGAGAATCGCTAGAGACAGCCACACAAACAGCAGCTGCCCAACAAACAGCAGCTGCCCAACAAACAGCAGCTGCCCAACAAACAACAACAGAAGCAACAACATCGACGACGACAACATTGCTTGAAGTGAAAATTTTACCAGAATCGAACTTGCAAAAATCAACAACAGTCCAGAAAACAACAACAACTACAAGAACGCCAACAAGTCTTTTCAAAGTTATGTTCTCCAACAAGATAATCGCTAAGAAGACTCTCATACTTTGGTTTTCTTGGTACGTTGGCTTTCCTGATTGGTTGCTTGGCTGATTGGTTCAGTTGATTTCTTGGTTGGTTAGTTGATTTATAGGCTAACAATTTTGATTGGCTGGTACGCCTGTTGATTGGCTGTTCTGATTGGTTGGCTGATAGGTTGGCTATTTTGATTGGCTGGTTGGCTGATCGGTTGATTATTGACTCTTCTTTTGACAACTCTTTCGTTGATTAATGGTGAACGATTCACTCCGATGATTTGTTACTTGGCTGATGAGCTGATTGATTGGTCACGTGTTTGTCACATGACAGGTTCGTTTCCGCTCTCATTTACTACGCCATCTCTCTGAACACGAGTCGTCTGCCAGGCAACATCTACGTCATCACCTTCATAGTGACCTTCATTGAAATCCCCGCGAACGTAATGACCATTGGGGTGATGAGGAAAATAAGTGGCCGGTCAACCATCCTCATCTTCACCATTGTCGCCGCACTCGCTTCCTTCACCATGATCCCATTCATGTACCTCCAAAGTTAGCGGTGCTTTTGTGGAGATCTTTGATTAGTCAGTCGATGGTGGTGACGTGATTGTGATGATGGTGACAACGACGAAGTGATGATTGTAGGGTGATAATGGTAATAGTGAAAATGATTTCATATAAATTTTCAAGTCTCTTGCCAGCAACAACACAACCAATCCCACCTATCTTTCCATTCAGGTTGCATGTATGTCGTCAGCGCGTTTGGCATTCTAGGCAAAGGTGTAGTAAGATTTGATTTTGATAGTAAAACAACAATTTTCCACACACACACCTCACACACACAGACACCACGCACACGCACACACACACACACTCACAGACATACACACGCGCGCAAACACACAACAGCTAGTATCACAGCCTCATACAGCGCACTGTACGTAGAAACAGCCGAGGCCTACCCCACAACGATCAGGGGAAGAGCCATGGGGATTGCCGCCTCCTTTGGAAGGTTCAGTAGTATGGGGTCCTCTTTTATCGGCGGTGTCATGGCGAGTTTATTTAGTTTGCTCCTAGTTTTCGCTGCATTCATTTGTCTTATTTATTTATTTAATTGACAAATTCAATTTGTTAATTTTAATTGTTTTTATATCGAGATTTAATTTCATTTATTTATTTATTTATTCATTCAATCTCGTTTGCTCAATAAACATTCATTCATTCATTCACTTATTCACTTTAATAGATTTCTATTCATTCATTCATTCAATCAATCATCCATTCACATTCACTATTCACATATTCATTCACTCATTTGTTCACTCATTCATTCATTCACTCACTAGTCACGACTGAACATCAAGATATCGTCATGACATACGAAAGCAGCCTGACATCACATCACATAAAAACAAGCACACACCGTAACATTAATCGCAGAGAACACCCTTATAAATATGACTACATACAAATGTTACACTAATACAAATATAAATGAAATGTAAACATTACACAACAAACCACGTGACATCAACATTACCCCCCACGTGACATCAACATTGCGCGCCACGTGACGTCAGCATTGCATATTACGTGACATTAACATTACGCACCACGTGACATCAACATTACGCACCACGTGACGTCAGCATTGCATATTACGTGACATCAACATTACGCACCACGTGACATCAACATTAAAAATGACGTCACACAACAGACAGACGTCTGGCGCCCACTTCCGAGTCTCATCTTCGGAGTGCTGGCCCTTTTGTCAGGTTGTTCCTTCATCATCTTTCCAATGCAGAGTACTGGAGACATGTGAGTGAGTGAGTGAGTGAGTGAGTGATGAAGATGACGCTGATGACGATGACGATGATGGCGATGATGATGACGTTGGCGATGATGAAGAAAGTAGAAATAATGATGATGATGATGATGAGGATGAGAGTCATGGTGATGATGACGATGGAGAAGGCGGAGATGGTGATGATGATGAAACTCGTGATGAAGATGATGCTGACGACAACGATGGTGATAACTGATTTTGCGAGCCAATGGAAATTAAATAAAAAAATCGATTAAAATAATTAATAATAATAAACAACTCTAATTACAACGTAACAACAACAACAACAAACAAATCATTCATGATTGCAAAATTGATTGCAAAACATCGAATTGATGTTTTTAAACATTAACTATGACTCAACAGTACTGCCATTGAACAAAGTAATCAACTGATTTACAATTACTGAATTCAAAATCTAATTGATTGACTGAGTTGCTAATTGATTGACTGATTGATTGATTAATTGACTGATTGATTGATTAATTGACTGATTGATTGATTAATTGACTAATTGATTGATTAATTGATTTATTGACTAATTGATTTATTGACTAATTGATTTATTGACTAATTGATCGGTCTGTTCAATTTCTCCATGATTGATTGATTGATTGATTGCATGTGACTGATCAATGATTGGCCGGTAGGATGGTTATACATGACTATCAACTGATTGATTGATTTATAGACTGACAGATAGATAGATTGATTGACTAATTGGATAATTAGTTATCCAATTAACTTCATTAATTGGATAACTAATTAATAACTTAATTAATTCACGTTTCCGTGTATAGGAAATCAGACCTGAAGACGGAAAAGTTCAGCAGGGATGAAGACGTTGTAGATGTCGAAGAAGATCTCACCAGAAAAAAACAACAGCAACGCTGATAGCGATAGTTGATAGTTCAAATTCTACCATCATTAACTCAATCATTCATTCACTCGCTCATTCAATCATTTTCTTCATTTAATTCATCCATTTCTCTCTCTCTCTCTCTCAATCATTCACTCAATTGCACTTATTTGTAAAACTAGGTTTATCCACATAACACAATAGTAATGAAATAAAATAATCCATTAAAACAATATTTTATTTAACTTTGCCTAACTTTTACAATATAAACACACACACACACACACACACACACACACACACACACACACACGATTGTTTTTTTGTGTTCATTTGTTTGCACAACACCGGGTTTGTCTTACAGCAGTTTAATTTGCAACTACCAGCAATTATTTGTCATTCACTTTTCAGTTTTAACATTGTTTCTTCATTGTTTTGAATAATTTATTAACATAATAAATTTGCGAAATCCGTTTAGACACAATTTTCTTAATTTATACGACCAATAAATTGAGTCAAATTATAATTTAAAACAAAGCTATTCGACATCTCCCAACTTTCGATGTACTATTATCACCATCATCATCTGGCTTATTATTATTATTATCATCATCATTATTATTATTGTTGTTATTATTATTTTTGATAACTGGTATGATGTGATTGGTCAGAAGCGTGATGACGTCATTTTTGACAATTTTGATCTGTAGCATGTTGAGTAACTTGCTGTCCCGATGGTTCACATCCAGTACAAGGTGCTTTAGAGTAGTCAGCCTCAGATCGCCTGATTGGTTGGTGTTGTTTGTCTGTTGATTTGTGACTGGTTAGGTTTGGTTTGAGGTGATCATTGATTGGCTGGTTGGTTGGTTGGGTGGCGATCGTTGATTGGTTGGTAGGATAGTGTGCTAATTGTTTGAAAAGTCGTTTGATTGATTGGTTGGTTGATTGATTGTTGCACTGACCACTAGAAATAAGGGCAGCCAGTCTGTTTGGGGTCCCTACTGCCAGGTGGATGACCTTTGACCTCAAAAAATCTTGCGTCTTGTCGAGCTGTGTGTGTTTGTGTGCGTGAAATGAAAATTTTAAGGATTGAAGAATGAATGAATGAATGGAAGAATAAATGAATAAAGAAAACTCGAGAATGAATTAATGAAAGAATAATTGATTGATAGAATGAATGCCAACCAACTTTCAAATGTTTGGCAAACAACTTGGCAATGATGTACTTATCACCAGATTTCAAATCTTTTATCTGCCTGTGTGTACGTGTGTATGTGTATGTGTGTGTGTGTGTGAAGAAGATGATTAATGGAGAAGAGCCAACTATTCAACTACTCACCTAGTTAACTTATCAGCCAGCCAGCCAGCCTAACGAGAAACAATCACTCAATTAAACCAACCAACCAACCAATTAAAACAATCAATTAAACCAACCAGTCAATTAAAACAATCAATTAAACTAACCAACTAATCAATTAAAGCAATCAACCTGATAAACTCGACGCATCTGATAGCAGACGAACAAACGATGATGACGATGGGAGAGCCAGAGACACCGGAATTCATCTTCATCGACCTCTTCCACTTTGGAATGAGCTCCCTCAAAAATGACAGTGGGGTGTGTTTTTGTTTTTGGTCATCTTCGTTGTTGTTGTTGTTTATTAATGAAAAGTCATCGGCTGATTGGTGAAATTTCATTTTTTATTCAATTTTTCAAAATTTATTTTCTATTTAGCAACAGATTTATCAAAAATATAATTTATTCATTTATTTATTATGAGAAAACCAAACAAAAGTATAATAAAGGTTAAAGGTTTTTCTCTCTCTTTTGCATTTGCTTCAGAGGTTTCAACGACAATCACACACAGCGTACATGAATACGCGTGCAAATCACACATCATACACATTGCATATGATAGGCGGGGATCTCTTTGTATTCGAACCCAGTCATTGCAATAGCAAGACCAGGCGCCTTTAACCATTGAGCCATCACGCAGCCCTATAAGATCATTACATTTCATTAAAACAATGTTACACAACTTTATAAAAAAAAAAATGACATCTCCTTATTAGTACAGCAGCACAAAATGTACCGATTCCAAAAACAACTGAACTTAATGCCAGATTTAAAGAAAGACAAATAGGGCTACTGCCTTATGGGCCTCTAGTAGAAAGGAAGCCACCACAAAGAATGGGGGGTCCCTACAAGGAAGGGGAGTCCCTACAAAGAAGGGGGACCACTACAAAAAGAAGCCCCCAGTGTTTTGCTGCCATATGGCATCCACACCTTTAAATCTGGCACCGACTATATCAAGTGTACTAAACATAGTACCAACTGTACTAACATGTCAGTTGTACTCTTTCTCTCTCGATGCTTGTTAGATGCTGCATGTGGTACTCGTTTATAATCTTCAAAACATCTCTCACACTGACATTGCTCTGGTCTATAGAACTGGATTTAGCTTTCTGAGAAAGAATATTTGTTCTGTTTCTATTATTATTTATATTTTACTATAATTTTAAATAATAGTAATAATAAATAGTGAATAATATCATGATCAATAATAATACTGAATAAATAAATTGATCTGACATTTCCTAACGTAAATAATTTACCCTCTTTGAGTGTTTGGTTCGTTTTTCAAATTTATTTTTTTTAATTTTTTTAATTTCCGTTTCTTTGTTTTCATCACCGTCAGCAGCATCAATTCCATCATCATCTGCATCATCATCATTGAGATTGACATCATCAACCTCCTCCTCATCATCATCATTAAATATTTCTTTATCCAACAACGACATCTTTTTTGCTTTGCTTATCTTATTATTATTATCATCGGAATCTTCTGAAAAAATAATTCAGATTATTAATAGTCGAAAATTAAATTATTATTAAATTAAAATATTAATTAGAAATTATTAAATTAAAATTTAAATAAATTAAATTAAATATCAAAATTCATTAACTAATTAATTAATTAAACATTCACTTTCTAATTTTCGTTTTTTGGACTTTTTCAACTTGCTCTCATTTGCGGAATTCATCCACCAATCGTCGTCCAACTCATCGGCCATAATTGCAAAAAATATCCTTTCTTTTGGTTTCTGAAATCTGCCTAATTACACTAACCGATTAGATTAGATTAGCATTAGACAGTTGGTTTAAACCAAAACACATGTAGGGAGAGGCGATAATTAGTATAATTTTGTTTTGTAAACATCAAAGAAATTTAAAAAATAATGTGATAAATGACATAGATGCACGGATATTTGGTATCTATGTTTTTATATTTTGTGTTATATCCATATTAAATATACCGTTTTTAAATTTGACACAGTCACAAAATAAATGAATAAATTTTTTTTGTGTTAATAAAAGGTTTTAATAATACGATTTAAGTAGTTTGAGTACCGTTTGGCTGAAAATTTCAAGAAACATAGGAATTGAGGTATATTGCTTGAGGTTATACATTGAACAAAAAGCATTTTTTTAATTATTATTATTAATGGGGTTTAAAGTGGTTCAGAAGACTACGGTCTGTGTAAGAACCACTACTAATTAGATCTCCTAATATCCTATCTGTCCGAGTTTGGCTTTGAATCTGTTGAGTGAATTCGCAGAGACTGTATCACCGCTTAGCTCGTTCCAGGCGTTGACCACTCTACTGCTGAAGAATCTGCTCTTTTACGTCATAATATTCTACTTATAACTTTTAAACATCAAATTATAATGTGAAAGCAATTCCAGTTTTTTAATCCCACAGTTTCGACTTCATGAGCGCGTTTTTAAAATGCGTTGTCAAATATTTTTATTTTAACTGAAACCACTATACCCGTTTTGCAATATAAACCTTTTTCCATTTAAATTAAGTTTTGATATAAATATTTATTTATCACTAGCTCTGGCTAATGGCCAATCTCATTTAAATCATTAAATATCAAAATACACACAAAATGCTGACGAAATAGTCAGAATATTAAAACGATTTATACTTTTTCTGAAGGCCGTTTCTTTCTTGATTAATTCTGAAATGATTTAGCAACCAACAAAACATAGTACGGTTTTAATCTGGGTATCTCTCTCTCTTTCTCTCTCTCTCTCACACACAAACATGCATAGGAATCTATCTTATAGGACTTGAATCTAACCTCTCAGCACCTATAGGACTGAACATTTCAAACGGTGCGCCACCTTGGAACGATAAATCGAATCACATTAATAACTAAATGACATTTATTACTGAATCACATAAACTACTGAATCACATTAATTACTAAATCACATTAATTACAGAATCACAATAATTTCACAATAACATTAATTACTGAAAGCATCTAAACATAAATATCAATCGTCTTCATTCGATTTTATATTTTTCATAAGTTTGAAATTTTACAAATTGCACAAATTTCACGTTGAAAAAGTATAGTTGCTATGAAAAGTGCCTCCCATAGATATATTATATAATATTATATTTATCCATGGGGCCTCCGCTAAAATATTAAATGCGAGCGCCAAACAAAACATTGTTTAATGTACAGTGGCGGATTAAGTCGAGCGGGGGCCCTAAGCAGAAAAAATTTGGGGCCCCAAACTTAGTGTGCCGTGGAGAGGCTTTTTAACTTTCAATTATTTCCAACTTATAACTGTGTAGGCAATATACATTTTTGAACTAAAAACAACTTTTAACGAATTTGAATAAATTTTGTCGACAGATTTGTTACAAACATTAATATATTAAGTGCGAAATTTTTGAAATATTAAACACTGAATTATTCAAATTAAATGTTCAAATTCCTTTTATTTACAAACTAACACACACACACACACACACACACACATATATATATATATTATATATATATATTATGGAACGTGTCCGCGTTCATTCAAGGCTCTTCCAGTGCTTAGTGTTTCGGGTTTGTCTTTTTCCTATGGTGAACACCCTTCCTGGGATACAATCATTGCAAATATTTTTGTCGAGACTTCATGCTATTTGTGATGTGCTTCATAGATTAAAATTTGGTCAAATACAAATATAAAAAAAAATACAGAATTTCCAAATAGTCAAAAAAATATGTTTGACAATAATGTAATTCGAAAAGAAGATTAAAAGAGATCATTGGAAAATAATAATCGACAAACAATATTTTTTTCAAATAAATTTCTTCCTAGCTTTACTTCTTGCAAATTCATCAATAATTTTGGCAGTGTCAACACTATTCATTATTTCTTGTTCTATATACAAAACAGCTAAATTATTTAATTTTTGTTCCCCCATTGTACTCCTCAAATAATTTTTAATTCTTTTCAAAACAGAAAAAGATCTTTCACCAGATGCATTAGATAAAGGAATAGTTTAAAAAAAATTCAATAATATTTCAATATTGGGAAATGTGCATGACATTTATTTAGCGACTTTATAGATTCATTCAAATGATAAATCTTTGTTATTACTTGAATTATCTGGCTTATTCTTAATGGCGTCCTCATTTTCCTTCAAAAAAATAAAAAATGGTTTAGTTCATCTTCCAAATTACAAACATCAATGTCATTTCTGTAAATATTTTTCAATTCTTTCAATGATTTTTGTTTTTTTTCTTCTGACAAATTCCAATCAAGAAATATACGAAAATGTTCCAAAACAACCTCATATTTTTGAACTCTTTGTAGCAATTGTATTTTAATACTATCGCATATGACATAAAATGTATTGATTTTAAAATTATCTCTAGTTGTAAATTTATACTCTTCTTTATTTTCATCAAAAAATGCATTTCTTTTTCTTCTGTTAAAAGTTACTTCATCTTCCTCACTAAAAGATTGTAATCCTGATAAATCGGTTGCTTCTGTCATAACTTTTTCATAATCATTTCTGAAATTCTCAATAAAACTGTCTAATGATTTAAGTAGCATTGATCCTTTAAATAATTCACATTCTATTGATTGCAGTGACTTACTGGTAGAATTTATTCTTTGCAATTCCAAATAAGTCACAAGAGCGGTTTCGTATTTATTCATTTTTTTAAGTAGTGATGTTGCTTCAACTATAGTGATAGGTTTTTCATCCTGTTCATTGCATAGGTCAGTTAACGTTTCTTTTATTATTGTATATTTTAGTTTTAAAGCTAAAACAGCATCAGCTCTTGCTGACCATCTTGTTACCCTTGATACCCTTTTTAACGAGAGAGACTGACCAACATCTATTTTGCTGTTCAGCATTTTCCAGCGATGAGTTGATGATGAAAAAAATGTAAATAGCTTTTGCACAAACATGAAATATTGAACCGCGGTGTTACAGCTCTCAGCAGCAAAATTTCCAACTAAATTCAATGAATGGTTTGCACAAGGAATAAAAACCGCACTCGGACTATGTTCTTTAATACGTGCTTGTAAGCCTGAGTACTTTCCTGACATGTTCGAAGCGTTGTCAAAAGATTGACCTCGACAGTTTTTAATATCTAGGACAAACTTCATTAAAGTTTCTAAAACTTTTTTTTCCAAGTATGAAGAGTTGTGCTTATCTATAGGAACGAACCATAAAAATCGTTCCTTTATCTTACCAGAAAATGAAACATATCTTATCACAAAAGTAAGTTGGTCAACATGAGCAATATCAGGAGTGGAGTCAATAATTATACCGTAATAAGTTGCCGATTTAATTTCTTCAATTATTTCAGCCCTTACTTGATTGCCAATGAGGCCTACAAATTCGTCACAAATATAAGATAAATAACGTGCATGACCCCGTCCTTGGTTTGCATATTTTTGTAAATGTAATTTTAAAAATTCATCATATTCACTTAAATATTCCAAACAGGTCAAATAATTTCCTTTTCTATTGGAATTTTTACTTTCATAATGACCGCGAAATCATAATCCTAAGCGGCTTAATAACTGTATTGTTGAAACAATCCTTTCTAAAACTTCTCTCCAATAATACTCTTCTTTTTCTGTTTCCTAAAAAGCTGAGCATCAATTCTGCTCAAAGCAGTTGATCTTTTGTACAGAGTGCACATAGATGACATGTGTTCTTTTGAAATTTCATGGTCTGATAAAACAACTGTTATTGATCTCCAATTTTCAAAGCCAGTTATTAATTTGGACTTTTTCTTGGAGAAAAGTTTGCAAGGGTAACAATAAACGCACTTGCTAGTTTCGGAAAATACCAGCCATGTTCTTTTTTCCAAAACTCCGTTTGATTTTTTTCTATAAAAATGATCAATAGAGAGCCCTCTGCTGTAGTAAACATCATCTTTTTTTCTTTAAACACCGATTTTAAGTTTTCTATATTTCCTATATTTTCTGGTTTATTTTTTAAATATAGTCAATAAATGAATCAGACAAACTGGCTGGCCATAAGGCTATATCATTAATTTCTTCATTTTTCTTATTATACAATTTATCTGGATTTTCTCTGTCTTCTGTTATCTCACTATTATTTTCAAAATTTTTAAAGTTTTAAAATTACTAAATTATATATTCTATATATATCCTTTTTACAAAGAATTTAAAAATAACACTTTTATAATTTAAAACAGAACATGAATTATTGTAGGAACAAATGAAATAAGTTGTATAGCGCTTGACATTTAAAAATTCAAAAAGCACAATATTTTGTATATATAATTATAATAAATTATATAATTTTATATAATTATTTTATAGTGTTTGCAATTTTGTCATAATAATTTCGTACAGCAAAAATTTTAAATTTTGATTTCTTGGGGGGCAATCCCCAAATGACGCCTCTGTTCGGAAGCAAAACACATGGGATTGTCTGGCTCTCCTATCATTCCATACTTCTTATCAACTGCTGAAGCTAACGAGTTGACTGATATTGAGATCAAAACAATGGTTGATAGATACCAAATCAACAACATTTTTATCAAATTTTAAACAATTTTATCCAATTTGTAACTGACAATTTGACGTATTATCAGAGTTTACTAAATAACTTATTTTTTCGTCAGCCCATCCGCTTTAATTAAAATAATTCATATTATTACACGTCCTGATTGTTCATTGTTCACAGCAGACGCACATATATCAATTATTCATAATATCTATCTACTTCAGTTAAATTTTTACAAAAGAATTAATTATAAAAGTCAATAAATTATTTGATTAAATTTACGAAATTCTGTAATTAAATTTTAATTCATAGTGTAAAACTTTCGCGATCAACCTACAATTGTTGGAAGCGGTGTGCATGCATATTTTATTAACTTTATTTTTATATTATATTATTTTGGTTGCGTTTGTGTATGTTTGTGGGATGTGTTTGAGAGTGTGTATGTGTGTGCGTGTGTGTTTTAAACAATTATTACTATTATTTTGTTTAGACTATTATTTACTGCTCTCTCTTTCCCTCTCATTCCCCTTTTTCTCTCTCTCTTTTTCTTTCTCTCTCTGTCTTTGGTTATATATATCTATTTTTTTCAAATGAATGAAAACATTTTAAAAACCTGTGTATTGATTTTTTTCTTTTAAATGTTCATGCAGAAACATAAATTTTTCACAATTCATTCTGTTCTTTGTTTTTCTAATATTGTTTCAGATCAAATTTTTCCAAAACTCTTAGAAAATTTCAACAAAATGTAAAAGTTGCATAAAGTAAAAAAAACTGAATATAAAAAGAATAATTATAAGCATATTTATCGGTTTTTTTAGAAAAAAAATGCAATAAAAATTTTTTCTCAGCAAAAAGATTTTTTTAAATTCTCTGTTACTTCTACTGCATTTCATTACTATAAATAAATATTACCACTAAAAATAAAATCCAACTTAACGGCCTCCAGTAGTTTTTCACCAATGTTTTTCATATTCTTAAAAATGACTAAGCCAATAAATTTAGGTACTACATAGTTTCGCAGATAAATTAATTTGTCATAGCACGGTAACAATAATTTTTAAGTTTGTAAAACATTCATTATGTTTCAATCACAAATTGGTGTAAAACAGAAAGGTTAATTTGCCAGTTCACGGTAACCCTAATTTTTTTAAGTTTGTAGAACATACTGACACTGTTTTTAAAATAAACTTTCACTTTCCAATTTCATCTGACAGCATCCAAAAAGTTATAACAGAAGTGAAGTAACGACCGAGGGGATCACTTCATCTTGATCATCATCCTACAGTGCGTCATAGGTATCCAGCTATTAGTTTTCCCGGAAAAGTACATCAAAGGTTGTCCGTAGATTGCATTGAGATTTTGCGCATAACAAAGATTGAACCAATTACCAGATGGGTAAGTCGCTGCACAGGAAAAATAGTTGTCGTGATCGGGTGTGGCAAAGGGCATTCCGTTCTGTAGTAGTTTAAAATTTTGTGGTGGCAGATTGTTGAACAAGTCAAGATTGTCACCGCTGTAAATAGCTACGTGTATGGCGTAGTTCTTAGTTTCTGAGTCTAACTGTGTTTCAAATATAGAAAGTATATGCATTGGAGTAACTTAAAAACAACATACGTTCTGTTGATTAACTAAAATTAATATCGTAATGAATAGGCATACTTTGAAACTGTCATATTCATCTGACATCCAATATCCATTGGAAAGAACTTCAAATCTCAATCTGTAGTTGGCGGAGTTGGTCAGTTGGTAGATTTCCTCTAATCCTAACCAAAGGTTGGCGTTGTACGTTCCAAAACCTGCCTGAAATTCAAGTTTGCAGTTTGAAAAATGTGCTCAAAATTAAAAAAATAAGTGGTATAAAACTTGATTTCGTGAAAATTTACCATTACTTTTACAAGAAGGTTTACATAAATTTGGAAACAAATATCATTTTCATTAGGAAAATCATTTTTCAACCTTATAAGTTGCCCAATTTTGTACGAAACTTTGTGTGCCATCAATTCTTTGCTGAATGACAATCCATCCATTGACAGACAAGACAGTAGTTGGTGATGGAAAAGTTGGAATGGTTAACAAAGTTGTTGCATTTGCGTTATAATCTAAAATCAAATTTCCAAAAATCAATATTCGCAACTTTCTAAATTTACTCAACTTTGAAATACATTCCGATGAACTGTTAAAGATAAAACGTACCTAATGGATTGAGGCAAACAGCTAAAATCCTGTTCCCTGTGATGCAAAAGTACAGAGCACCTGGGAACTGTTGATCGCTTTATCGAAGAGATCTTTAATTTGGGATTGATACAATCATTGAAAAAGTTTATTGAATTCTGTTGTAATTACCTAATTTAATTTCTTAAGTTTCATTAAACTAATGACCATTCTATTGGACTGCCCGCGATCCCAGTAGATCACTCAACTATTTTTTGTTGCAAATTTCTTTAAGTTTATACTATAGTAAAAAGGAAGGTTAAAGGTTAAAACTTAGTAACAGGGTGACAAAACACGCTAAAAGATGATTCAAAGTGAAAAATTATAGGCGTCTAACGTTGTTTAGAAGAGAAATAAAAAATTTTTAAAAAGTTTTTTCAAATAAAAGAGTTGGCAATATTTAACTCTCCTTATCATTGTTGAATATGCCATTGAATGAACCGCATGACATAGCGTTAATGGTTACTTGGCTAGACAATTAATTTGAAAGAACTGAAGAGACTGACCGTTTTGTGCGGTAGTTGATTCTAAAAAAAAATTAAATTTCAATTTTATTATACGAGGATTTTGGTGATTAATATTTTAAAAATGAAATAATAACAAAAACATCAAATGACATGAGACAAACCTATCATTTGCCTCGTCTTAGAATCCTTAAAAAAGTAATTTTTTATACTCTTTTTATGACATTTCCCAACAAAATGACATAAAATAACAAAAATATTTTTAAAAATTTGCAGAAAAATTTATCAACCTCAAAAGCGAAACATTCTGGATGCCACTTTGAAGTAATTCTGTTAATGATTCCGCAAAGAAAATGAAAGAGTTGGCAATATTTAGCCGGATCACCAGCATTATCTGACATGTACTTGAATGCGTTGCAAGTGATGTCACCATCAGTGGGAGAAACATAATGAGAACATTTGGTAGAACATTCCAGTAAGGATCGTATGTTGGTTAGTACTGTGGTAGGCTCTGAAGCAAGCAAAACACACATGGAATTGTCTGGCTCTCCTATCATTCCATACTTCTTATCAACTGCTGGTGCTAACGAGTTGACTGATGATAATACATTAATTAGGAGAATAATTTCATTCAAACACATTTAATATATTGCTGTTTATTTTAAATTTTGGCAAAAAGTTGTTTTTATGTTGTAGAAGTTGTAAAAGTTCTGTATACAAAACATAAAAATGTTGCGAAACTCCAAATGTTTGCTTAACGTGCACTGTTACTCATTTGCTAAATATAAACCATAATCATCTGCAATAAAAAATTTAAAATTCGAATTTAAAATATTTTTCACTATTCTATTGTTATATTTTTTTGTCTGCTGCTAAATATTAATGAAATATAATGAAATATTCATATCGTAAAATTTTCCCTTTCAAAATCATTCATTATAAGAGGCACTGGCATTATAAATGATAATTAAATATGTATGTTACAGTATGTGATTCACGATCATATTTTGTTGGCTTTAAAACATTAAGCTGTATCTTACTGTGTTTGTTCGCCTGTTTGTTCATTCGTTCGTCTGTTCGCTCGTTCATTCGTTCGTCTGTTCGCTCGTTCGTTCGTTCGTTCGTGTGTTCGTTTCTTCGCTCATTGACGTTTGTCATAATATAAATATTTGAATAACTATTCAAAATATGTTTATAATAGTTCGTCATTGAGTTTTTGTTGAATATTTTATGAACGCACTGAAATGAACATAAACTACTGAGAAGCGATTCAATTTATTGTTGATAACTGCAACAAACTTGTTTACAGACTCCAGTTTTACTAATATAATTTTAGATATGGAATATTAAACATTTCAGTTTTAAATAAATTTTTTTTTTCTAACAAAAAATATCAATATTCTCTAAACTTCCACAGCATCCATCAAACGTTTGCTTATTTATTGATCATTTGTAAATGATAACTTCCTGGTAAACCAATAAAATGTATATGAACATGTAAATTCACGACGAAAATGCTTAAATATAAGTGTGAGTGCATGTGTGGTGTGTGTGTGATGTGTGTGTGTGGTGTGTGTGGTATAGCGTATAAATAGCCACATTTTAAATTACAAATTTCATTGAGTTTTTTAAAGTATATAAATTGTTAGGAAAAACATATAAAATGTTTGGAAAAAACATGCGTAAAAAAGCAATCAATTAGTTCTAGGTTTTGAGCGATCAGAACAGGTTTTAAGCTCTCAAACCATCTTGATCATCATCCTGCAATATGTGACTGGAGACCAAGTATTAACTCTAGCAGTGAAGTACATGTCGTCGATCGCATAGACACCATTCAGGTTCTGTGCATAGCAGTAGTTGAACCAATTACCTGCGTGATAACTTAGGCCACAGTTCCTACGATTTGGAGTGTTGTCCCGGTCTGGAGTTGAAAATTTCATGCCGTTGTGAGAAACTAATGATGCACCGTGTGGTGGTTGGTTCAAAATGTCCAAGTTATCACCGCTGTAGCCAGAGACATGTATGGCGTATTGGAGAGATTCTGAGTCGATCTAGAAAAGATTCAAATGAATGTACTTCAATTCTTGACAACAAAGATTAAAGTGGAAACCATTGGAAGCCGGTGGGAAATTTCACCTTAAAATTGTCATATTCATCCGATGTCCAGTATCCATTGGAAAGAACTTCAAACCTCAGTCTGTAACTGGCTGAGTTGGTCAGTTGATAGATTTTCTCTAGTCCAAGCCAAAAATTGGCATTGTATGCTCCAAATCCGGCCTAAATATGTTTCCGATGTTTAGTTTCAACAGAAAAAGTTTGTATAGGTTTTACAAAAAATATTCAAAAGAGTTTCTTTAATTCAAAACTTTGTTTCCTACTTTATAAGTTGTCCAATTTTGATCGAAACTTAGCGAACCATCAATTCTCTGCTGGATGACGATCCATCCATTGACAAACGTTACAGGAGTTTGTCATGGAACGTTCGAGATGATTAGATTGCTGGTTGAGTTCGTGGCTTGAAAATCTTGAAATGAATATATTGCGGCTTTAGGCATTTAATTACCACTAAAAAAAACTTTTGATTTTGGGATTGTAGTTTTTTGCTAAACATTTGTTTCAGGAAGCATTAATTCTATGAAAAAAAATTGTAGTTTTTTTGTTTGTCCACATTTTTTGCTACAATTTTTGTTTTATTAATGAAAATAATTTCTCAAATGTTGAAAGAGGATGGAAACAATTTGATGATAAAATTCATTTGGCTAATTTAAACTTCAACCCTAATCAAATTATTCATTGTGGGTTGAAGATTCAGCCAGAAACGTCACCCCTTAGGCACGTGGAAAATAAAGAATAAAAAATAAAATAAAAATTAACCATCCTCTCCTGACAGACCTGACGGATTGAGGCAAACAGCCAAAATCTTGTTGCTAGTGATGCAAAAGTTAAGTAAACAAAGATTAGGTACTCCAGGCAGCTGGTTGGAACAACTGTAGAACAGGTCACCATTGTAAGTAAATGGAAAGTTGCATTGGGAGCTGTTGATTATCTGGAATGCTTTTATTTAATTTATAATTTTCTTGAAGCCTAACCAAGAAATTTTTTTATAGTTCTTGTTTTTAAAGTTTGATTTATAAATTCTTGAATTTTGATAAGGAAAATATTTTAGCGTTAGTTATTTATGAAATATTTGAGCTGCTGTAGAAATCAGTTTGATCGTTTGGCCGAAATTAACATATCACTAAATTTTTGTTAATGCCATGAAGATTCCTCGATATAATTTGATTATTTATAAATAATTGCTAAAAGTAAAACACATAAAATGATACGAAAATTGTTTTCAAATTCACAACAAACCATCCTCCACAGCCGAGTTACCATCAGACGCTGAAAAATTAATCAGTTAATTAATTAAAGATATGTGAAAATTTGCTTAAATGGGCGAAAAAGTTGGCATTCCAAACCTAATCTTTCCCTGGCTTCAACATCCTTGAATTTGTAAGGAATTTTAAATTGTTTTATTTCATTAAATAAGTTTGCTTTTCATAAACGATTTTTCATGCACATAGTGAACTTTTTTGACCATGCTAGGCAAGACAACGTTCTTTCAAATTTGCCAAGTACGGCTTACGATCAAAAATGAAACCTCAGGGAGACCATCCTAAAAAAACATTGTAATTGCATCACGTAGGGTTTCATTTGCATTCGAACAAGGTCACTGGCATGCTAATACAACACCAATTAGAATGTAGAAATATTGAATTGCTAGCGTGCCTTATACCATTTTACGTGTGCATTATATGTACGTTGAAAAAATTATAAAAGTGATAATAATTTAAAACGAATAAGGAAGGATACGAACATTTTCACAAATTCAAAATCAGCCACGAAATAAAACCAACCTCAAAAGAATAGCATTGATTCATTTTCAGAACAATCTTAAAATGAACATCGCAAGTGAACTGAAACAGTTGGCAATACTTAGCTGGATGACTGGCATTGTTGGATATGTAGTTGAATGCGTTGCAAGTGATGTGTCTAGCACATTCAATAGAACATTCCAGTAAGGATCGTATGTTGGTTAGTACTGTGGCAGGTTCGGAAGCAAAACACATGGGATTGTCTGGCTCTCCCACCATTTCATACTTCTTATCAACTGCTGATGCCAACAACAGAACTGATGCTAATAACATCGCTTGTGAGAAAATTTGGTTCGGCCGCATTGGTACAACTTTGCAAATTTGAATATGAAAAATTATAAATATAAAATTATAAATATAAAGAAAAAATTGTGTTATATTTTTTTCAAAACCGTATTAAAAACCAACATATATTAATTCAAGCTCAACTTTCAGCACTTTCGGCAAGTACATTTAGCTACCTTGAAACCAAATTTTATTAAAATTTATCTTCACATAACTCTACAAAGTTGTGCATCTAGTAAATAATAAAATGTATTTAACATTTTAATCTCAAATTCGACAATAGTCTCAAACCAAATTAAATCGATCAGTCTATTTAAATAATTAAAAACCACATCATTGTCATTAATAATAGGCAACCGCCATCAGTTGAAACAATGCAAGCAGTTCCTACATACCTTCCTACTTACAATAGAAAAATGATGGAAAATTCCGAATCAATATGTTTTAGTGTTGTTGTATTAGATGTTCATTAAATGCGTCATTGTTTTACGATGTTCCGAGTTTTAAAACAAATAACAAATATAATGACAGCACTTTCAAACGATACGGGCAGTTTGATTGGTCGGTTTATTTCGAAATTATGTTGACGTCATAGTTATAATTGTTTTTAATGTAAATGTTAAATTTTGTATCTCGACTGTAAATTTTTGCAATTAAGATACCACAAAATTGTTATTATTTCGGCAGGGTTTCGGAAGTATGGATAGAATAGATATCTATCTCTATAAACAAATTAACAACTTAACATCACCACCACGACCTTCTCCTTTATACAATCTCACGAACATTGTTTCACAAAAATTTCTGAGATTCAATTCAACAGACATTTCATTACGTTAACATAACAAAAGCTAGTATCATTGTGGTTGGTTTCTTGGTGAATTAAACTAGAGAGAATAAATATTACGTAATATGACGATAAGATGATGGAGTTGATGGTAGAACTTGCCAGCCGTACGCACTCGTTATGAAAAACTTTAAAAAAATATAAAAAAACAAGTTTTTTGCTATTAATTAGCTAACGCATTTTTCTAATTAAAATATGTGTTGTTATACGTTTATCTGTTTATATGCCAGTCTGTTTCTCTATCTGTCTGTCTCTTTATCTGTCTGCTTGTTTGTCATATTGATGTATGTTCATTGATATATAAATATGTTTGTAGTTTTTGGTACAAATTTTATAGCATTACATTGTATTGTAAGTATTCAACGTTATTTAACAATATTTTATAAAAAGTTCGTTTAAGCACACGCACGCTGACATTCACATACACACACACACACACCAACATATTCATATGTTGGTGTGTGTGTGTATGTGAGTGTATGTGTGTGTATGCAAATATATATTTTTGCATGTATGAATATGCTCTCTCTCTCTCTCTCTCTCCCTCTCTCTCTCTCTCTCTCTCTCTCTCTCTCTCTCTTTCCTCTATCTCTCTCCATGTTCATCGTCTGCTTTTGAACCAAAACATACGAACGAGTAAAAAAATTAACAGTGATGAAATGATGAAGGCGAAGATTATGGCAACTTTACTAAACAACACGAAGTGGTTTTGGGCCGGTTCATTTGTGGTTTCTTCAGCGTCTGCTTCTGAGTTTGCCAAGTTGCAGTTGAAATTTGGAGTATTTCCTACTTCCGTGCATCTGAGTGGTTTTGTGTGTGTGTGTGTATGTGTGTGTATTTGTGTTTGTGTGTGGGGTGTGTGTGTGTGTGTGTGAATGTTTATGCGTGTTAAAGATAAATTATAGTGAAACTAATACGAATATAAGGATATTATGATAAGAAAAGCAGCACTAACGACGTCAATAATAAAATGACAACCATAATGGAAGATAACAGAATTTATTATTATAAATAATTATTTTTCAACCCCTATAAGACATTAATAATGCTAAAAACAAAACAAACAAGACATTTTTTATTCAAATTTGTGACAAAATTCATAAAATTTTTTAAAAAATTCAAGTTTGTTTCATCTATCGAACTGAACTTTGGGTAACAATCTCTTCTTGGATTTCAGAATTGAGCACCAGGATTTATTGCAATAGGAATATGTTAATCTGTTAAAGTTCTCGAACCTACTGAAATCAAACGCACCGAGATTTTTCAACCGGTTTCCTTCTAAATTAAGCGCTATAAGTGTTGTTTCAGCACCGCTTAAAAAACCAGAAGGAAGTTTATTTACGTCATTGTATTTCAGAGATAGCATTTCTAACCGTTGAAATCCAGTTAAACTATTTAAGTTTGTGCTAGTGTTGATGAGCCGGATCGATCTGAATTCTCTGAAGGCCTCGCTAAAATCTTCTTGTTCAGTGAGACTGCTCAAATCCGTTCCACTGACCTCAAGAACATCATTCTGGCTCCTGCTTAGTGATGGGTGCTTAGCATTAACCACAAAATATTTAAACCCCCAGACATTCAAATCAACCTTGACATTCGTTATGTTAATGAAAAGCGGTGATCTAGGCGCCAAAACGAAGCCGCGAAAGTTTTTTAATCGCCCGCCAGCTACAGTCACACCTCCAACGCGTTCGCTAAGGATGAAGATGTGATGGCTGCTAATGTTGCAGTTGACGAATTGAATTTCGTCGAAAGGTTCGTACAGGTTTCTTCCGATCTGTACCATCTGCTGGTCAAATAGGATGGAGCTGAAGATGATCTTTGTGGCTGGTATCTTTTCCGAATGTACAATCAACCTCACTCCGCCGTTCAGATGGCCGATTTCAAGTTGGTCGTGCCTGAGACTGCCGTTGAACACGATCACTCTGCCACGCTCAGCTTCTGTCAGCGATTCTTCCGTAATAAACTTCTTAACAAGTGTCACATGCGTTGAACTAGTATCAACGTCTTCATCGTCGTCCTCATTAATATTATAATTTTCAAGGTTATAATAATTGTCATTAAAATTATTTTTATAATTGTTATTATTATTTATATTCAATAAACGAAAACTGGAGTTAATGTTGATCAGAGACAGGACCGAAATAGCTTTCAATAAAAATTTATCCATTTTATTAAAGGAAAAAAAAATTAACTTTTTTAATTAACCAACGGTATTTAATTCGCTTATAATTTTGATGGTTTGATCTTTTTAAAAATTTTAAAAAAATTTAAAAATCCACTCCAATGATTCTCAAATTTCAAGCAAGCGTAGATATAACCGCACATAGAAAATTACCGCGCATTTATATAATAAATAAACCAACACACACTCACACACGCACGTGCACACAAACCATGTTTCTCATTTATATGACGCACACACACACACACACACACACAGACACACACACACACAACGCATCAAGTTGGGATTTTTGTTTCAAAGATTCCGTAGAGTTTTTGCATTCTTTTCATTGTTGAAATTATAATTGATGTGGCGAATTAAGATTGTAGCGTCGTTCAAATTAAGAACAATTCTACCAGCGATGAATGTGTCATGGGCCTAGTCAAGGGGTGGTTTTCGGGGTTCCAAGTCATAAATAGGAAAAAATTACAATTAAAATATATCAATTGTTCTTATAAAGTCGCAAAAATAAAATAATTAGCTACGGAACAATCAATAAATCGATCAGTCGATCAATCAGTCAGTCGATCAATCAGTCAGTTGATCAATCAGTCAGTTGATCAATCAGTCAGTCAGTCAGTCAGTCAGTCAGTCAGTCAGTCAGTCAGTCAGTCAGTCAGTCAGTCAGTCAGTCAGTCAGTCAGTCAGTCAGTCAGTCAGTCAGTCAGTCAGTCAGTCAGTCAGTCAGTCAGTCAGTCAGTCAGTCAGTCAGTCAGTCAGTCAGTCAGTCAGTCAGTCAGTCAGTCAGTCAGTCAGTCAGTCAGTCAGTCAGTCAGTCAGTCAGTCAGTCAGTCAGTCAGTCAGTCAGTCAGTCAGTCAGTCAGTCAGTCAGTCAGTCAGTCAGTCAGTCAGTCAGTCAGTCAGTCAGTCAGTCAGTCAGTCAGTCAGTCAGTCAACCAAACGACCAATCAATCAATCAATTAATCAACTAATCAACCAAAAGCTCCGTTATTAACGCACTAAAGCGTCTACCAACATGTGAAAAGTCAACCTTGTTGTCATCTAAACCTTGCCGTTTTACTCTAAACTTACGTATTAACAAAAATATTAACAATGATAAAATGACTGTTGTGATGGTAATAGGAATGATGATAAACATCTCTCTAGATTTACTCATTTCGCTTTCTACACCCAAAATTTTAACTTTGATGGATTTGGTTATAGCAGCCTGAGGAGATGCAGATTTTTCTGCTGTCGTAACTCTAAGAAGTAGTGTTGGTACTGTCTATCTGTGAAGTTGTGGTAAAGTTTGAAGTGGTCGTTGTAATTTTTCTGGTTGATGTAGTCCCGTATGTTACAAACTCATTAAGTGAAGTAGTTGTGGAAGCTATAGTTGCTACAGAATCTGCAGTAGTTGAAGTGGCTGTAGTCGTTGTAGACGTCCTAGGCTGAGCAGCTGCAGTAGTACTTCTAGTTTTAAAAATTCTGTACTTAGTAATCGCTGCTATCTGCTTGCACTGTTTACAGCCTTCGGGCACAGTTGAACGCCTGTGCATTAAAATTTATAGGGTTTTTATAATCATTTATAAGGTTTTTTTATAATCATTTATATATATATATATATATATATATATATAATATATATATTGTAATATATATACATTATTATAACATTATTCAATAACTTTTGCTATTTTTGGTTATTTTCGTTGTTGTTAAATTTTTTTTCTAATAAGCTGTTAAACAATGAGATGAATAATGTTTGCTACATTCCTACTGTATATTCAATATATAGCAACATAAAAATATATTTCATTATTCAAAATATCGGAAGTTTCAAAAACGCTAATTTTTGACTGGCACGACACGACCGTGTCGATCACTCTTTACCAAATATGAAATCCTCACTTTTTTCAGATTTTAATTTATAAAATGTGAAATTAAAAAGATTTAATTGAAGTTTTGTACAGACTGTTATATGCAGTAATCGGATGGTGTGACGATTTTAACCGCAGTTACTGCAAAATGCAAAAGGATTCAGGCCAATGATACGAGATATGTGATGCGTTGTCGCTTCACGCGTCTTTAAAGCGTTGTTGATATTTTTGATTGGAGATCACGTAGGTAGGACTAACAATTGCACTTACGAGTGAATGATTGGTGTAAAATATATTAAAATCAACAGAAAACTAAACTAACAAAACATGACTTGACAGACTTCCAGTTGACTGCAGAACCGCGAACAAGAAGTTGTTTTCCTCTGATAAGATAAATTTTTTAAGATTAATAAATTTGCTAAAATTGAATCCGGCAAGAAAATACAGCGGATTTCCGGCTAAATTAATTTCTTGGAGAGATTTCTCTGAGCCTTGTAGAAAGTTTTTTGGAAGCTCGTTGATGCCGCTAAACGTGAGATGAAAAACCTCCAATCTCTCAAATTTGGTTAAATATTTAGGATTAATGTTTGTATCATTGAGTTTTACTACTGAAAAAAATCGGAAAATTTTACTCTTTTTCAAGTTGAAACTGCTCAGATCTGTTCTGCTGACTTGGAGCACATTTCTTGTCAATAGCGATTTATTGTAAAAGTGGGCATGAAACAGAAATCTATCATCGTCGACATGTCTTCTTTTATCAACCACCTCAACATCGGATATAGAAATGATATCCGGGACGCCGTGCTCGAAGAAGAACTGGTCAAAATCTCTTAACACACCGCCAGTCATTATTAACTCTTTGAAGGGAGAACTAAATTGCACATGGAAAACTAAACTACAATTTAAAAACTCAACGACATCTTGTTTAGCGGCCGATTCTGTTTCAAACAAGTAGTTTTTGTTTTCGAATGACAAGGAATTAAAAATGTATGTCCGCGCGTAGTCTGTTACGTCATTAAAGTATATCAGGTGAGCCCATGATAAATCTGAGAAACTAAGTCAGACTTTTAATTTCAATCACCCTCTTCTTGCATTCCTCCTCTTCTGCCAGGTTCACTCGGACAAACCTTTTAATAATCCAGCACAATATCAGAACATTTAAAAAAAAATCTGTTGTCATTTTTAAACTGTTAAGTAAAATTCGACGCAAAAAGTTTGGATTTAATTTAACTTCAATAATAACCAAAATGATTATGACATCCCAAGTTCTTTTGTAGAAGTTCTTGTACTCTTGCCTCCTAGTGATTTTGAGTGCGAATGCGTGTGTGTGTAAGTTTGAGTGTGTGGATGTAAAACAATGTTATTAAAGAAATAAGCTATCCTACTACACGCATGATAAAAAATTTAACACTTAATGAAACATTCAAAGTTGATTTTCTAAGGTAACTAAAGAAAAATTCAATTAAGCTCTATTTTATTCTTTATCAGATGCTTGAGTTCGAAGTCCATGAAAATTTTTCAAAAACATGTGTTGCTAGCTAAACCCATCGGAATGCATTTTTTTCTATTTACAGTTAATGCAACAACCATCTGCCGACAACTAATCGCAACATGCTCCACCATCTCTACTGCGTTTGACGAGTTTTTTGGATGGATGGTTGAACTTCGTCTTGTAAAACCATGGATATAATATATTTATATTATACATATCCAAGTGAAAAGCATAACTTTGTCAGATTATTTTCTGTACACCCTAAACAGTTTTTACAACTCGACGTTATGTTCTGCCAAGAAACATGCAGATAAAAAAATTCAAAGATTAATCACCAGTTTCCTCAAACAATATGTTGATAATCTATATATAAACTAAATATATTACATAAACGAAACTCTAACGAACTAACCCTAACCTTAAACGCATAATTTTTCATTTAGATTTTGGTTGGAGTTGGTTTTTTTTCCGATTCCCAGTAAGGTTTGTATATATATATATATATATATATATAGATGTATATATATATAAATATATATATATTATATCAAATATGGCATGAATTATGGTCTCCTTTCCATCCAGCCATACACACACACACACACAAATATATATATATGCGTGTGTGCATGTGTGTGTTTGTGTGTGTGTGACACGCACTTAGCTTATCACACGATAATATTAGGATAATGTTAAACTGACAAAAAAACGTTCTAACTCCCATAGTTCTATCGAAAGAAAATGACTACAACTTGAACAACAATAATATTAATAAATAATAACGAATAAGAATAAATAATAATAATTATCGTAAACTGCTTGACTGGATGTGAATCAGACAATCAATCTTATATTGTTTTCGGAAAAAAGTTATTTGCCTTCTTGAATATACAGATCAACAGCTTCGACAAAAATAAATGAAATAGTCAATCAATCAATCAATCAATCAATCAATCAATCAATCAATCAATCAATCAATCAATCAATCAATCAATCAATCAATCAATCAATCAATCAAAAGATTAAGCCGCTAATCAAACAATCAACCAAGAATTCAATTACATTGATTTGATTTAAAAAATAGATTAAAGAATTATTTCTATAACAATGACGATTTATTGAAGACCGTACGTACGAGCTATTTCAATCGCGACTATTCACTGAAGATTATGTATGTATGTACGTATGTATGTATGTAGGTATGTTTGTATGTATGTATGTATGTAAATATGTATGTTTGTACGTGTGTTTGTTCCAGTATATGTACGTGTTTGTTTCTCTGTTTGTTTGTGTTTTACGAATGTATATACATACATACATATGTTAGTTTAATTGTCTGTTTGTGCGCCTGTCCCTATATATCTCTACGTGCACAACGGACCCGCGAATTTTCGCCTGTACGTCTGTATGATGATTTAACAGCAAAAATAATCTTAACAGTGATAACAACGATAATAATTATTATTATTATTATTATGATATGATAAATGTAATGATAATTATTATTATTATTATCATCTGACGGGGAAGATAATGTTAAATCGTATTCCATGAACTATCTTTATACACATACACACACGCGCGCGCGCGCGCGCACGCACACACATAAATAGCACATTAACATCGTCTAGGTACATATATATGTAACTTTCTTTTGATGAACATCATGCACACATACGGACAAAGGAATATACGTTTCATTTATTTATGAACTTATTTGATATAAATATTTTTCATTAATTTATATTATTATTCTTCTTATTATTATTTAGTTGTTTATATTTTATTTCTAATTCAAATAAAATTAAACACCAACATCAGCATCGAAATCTAGGAGAAACAAATATGGAAAGTCAATTAAACAATTGATTGACAAATAATTAAAACACACACTCACACCACACACACTCACACCACACACACTCAAATTCTTCTTATATGACTTATATACAAAAACAAAAATGTGCGAACGTAGTAGAACAAGTCAGTTAGATATATGCATATTAATCAATCCTATATATACACAAATTTATCAAACTATATAGATACATAGATTGACACACACATTTGTTTGTCCTTCATATATATATATATATATATATATATATATATATATATATCTGAATAAACCACACACACACACACACACACATTCATACATATACAAAAACATATAAATAAATAAATAAGATACTGAGATATAAATAATGTGATTGCCAGGTAATCAAGAAACTTTAAAAACAATTTGTAAAACAGCAACCACAAACACACACACACACACACACACACACATATATACACACGTGCACACATTATAAAACACACAAACAAACGCACGGAAACGAGAACACAACCCATGCAGCAGACAGACAAAACCAAAAAAAAAAACAACTCAATAATTCCCACCGGACGAGCTACCAGCCCCACTGGCAAAACTATCCAACAGCCCCCCGACAACCGAAGGGTCTAAATACCCCACCCCGTCATCCTCATAATCCCCACCACCTCCCCCGCCGATCTCTCCATCATTATTCTCTCCATCATCTGCATCGAGATATCCACCAGAGCTGCCACCACCACCGCCACTACCGGCATCGTGTCCCCCCCCTTCCAGGTCATTTTCCTGGTAGGGGTGAAACTTTTTTCGATGTCGGTGGAGCTGCATGAACCAGCGAAACTTCTCGCCGCAAATTTTGCAGTCATACTTGTCCATGGCCAGGTGCGTCCCCCTGATGTGGTTGCGCAGGCTCGACTTGCTGCAGCGACGGGCCTGGCAGATGTGGCAGACGTACTGCATCTCGGCAGACATCGACTGGTCGACTACCTGTGGAGGAAGGATGTGTGTGTGTGCTGGTGTGTGCGTGTACGTGAATATGCGTGTGAGTGTTGATTTATGGAGTGTGTGTGTTGCACAACAAAAAAACAAAAAATAAACAAACATTTGCAAAACAACTACAGCTAACCACAAACTAACAAACTAACCATGCAACAACAATCTACAAACTATGCAACAACAAAACAACAACAGCAAAATTAGCATAACCTGTTGACACATCTCGTTGAGAATTTCGTTGTATGAACTGCTGTCTTGCGGAGGAAGTTGTTGATGTTGTTGCTGTTGTAGTAGCTGTTGCTGTTGATGCTTCTGACGGTTATCAATTACATGACTCTTCAGCTGCTGTTGCTGCCATTGTTTAATGTCATTTCAATTTCAACATAGCTGGCTAAAGTTGTGTGTTGGTTTAGGGTGTGTGTTTGTGCGTGTACACTCCCTAAACTAACACACCTACACAGTTAAAATGTTGCATTTCAGTTCACATATTTAAAAAAATATTTTCAAAAACCTGAAAAAAAAACTATAGAAATCAGCCACTAACATAAGCAGCCAGACTCATATTATTAGTCGCCACACACCTCCTAACTCTCCCTCTATTGCTGAATCGCCTAATTGAACCCCCTCGAACTCTTGGTAGCCTAAAATTGGTGTTGAAGCTTCGACGATTATTGAAATTGTTATACGGTTGCAGTTGTTGTCTCGTGCTGTTGTTGTTGCTCTGATCATCATATTCATCATCGTCTAGAATTTCATTTTTGATGTAATTGCTGTTAGCATTGTTGCTGTTGTTGTAGTTGTTGCTATTAACGTCAGCAACATTACTGTTGATGTCTTCATTGTAGTTGTTGTGCGAATAGTTAGAAGTGTTATAACTGTTGTTGTTGTTGTATTTGTTGAAATGATTGTTGTTGCTGTTTCTTGTATTATGCGAACTTCTTGTATAATTACACCGGCTGTTGTTTTGTTGTCTTTGGTAACATTCGTTGTTGTTGTTTTCATTGCTGTAATTGTTGTTGCTGTTGCTGCTATCTACGTTACTACCCGTGCTATTGTTGTTGTTGTTGTTATTAAATAAAATCTCTTGTTTGATTATTGCAAGTTCATTATTATTATCATTATTATTGTTGTTATTGTTATTATTATTATTGTTGTTGTTACTTTGGCTGTAATCATTATTTGCATCATCATTTTCATCTTCTTCGTCATCGTCGTCATTGGTCAGATCACAAACATTCATGGATGTGGAAACGTTTGTTTGTGGTGGACATCTGTGTGTGTGTGTGTGTAAGTTTGTGTGTGTGTGTGTCTGTAAGTAAGTGTATGTGAAATGTGACAAAACCTAATTACTATAAAAGTATAAAATCAAAAAGACTAGATCAGTTTCTTAATATTTATTAATTTATCTACTTTATTTAATAATTTAATTAACAAGAAAGGAATACAAAAAATCTGAAAATACTGACTGAGTGTTGGGGACATTTTTAGGATCTTTCTCTTTGATATTCCAGGCATAGGAAACATTCGACCCATTAGAGGAAATTAACTCCTTGATGCTAACCAGTATGACGTCATCCTTCCCGTCCCCGACCGTGACCCCCACTAATGCCTCAATGCAGAAATCTACGTCTGGCAATTTTAACGCATTCTTACATAAAATAGGCAGAGCGTTGGAGAGTAGAGTTTTTAGTGAAAAATGTTTGTTGGATTCGCGCGGAACCATTTTTTGTTTTTCAATTTTGTGTTTTTTCAAAAGATCGTCAAATATGAAATGATCGTGAGCAAATAGATCAACATTTAAAAATTATTCTTCATCTCCATTTAATTCAAAAATCAAAACAAAAATTAATTTTTAACTAATAAATTTTAAATGTAGCCAAAAACTAAATATGTAATTCTATAATGCTAAGTGTATTGTGGTGAATATTTCATGGAATTTATGTAATTTTGAAACAAATTTACAGTTTTTACATTTAGTAAAATAAAATATATTTTATTGTTTGCCAGAAAACGTCATTAAATGCTGATTTTTATAAATATTTATCTGTAATTCATCAAAACATAATCAAAAATGCAATTAAACACCTTAATAATTTAAACCTATTATTTTCATCAATTTAGTTATTTTATTTCATTAATTTGGCATTAAAAATTTAAACAAATTTATTTTAATAGTAATTTTGTTGTTGATTTTTAGTAGTAATTTTCTACGTTTCTTGTCTTTCTCTTTTCTAACTTTATTTCAATTTTAAAAGTTTGTAGAGAGAAAGAGTTTAATCTTTAATTTTAATGTGAATAAATTTATTTCATTTTAGCTATTAAATATTTTATTTTTAGTCAAATATAATTTTTTTGCCTGAAAAATATTTAATTACATTTTTATAATAAAATAAACTGACCGCCCCAAATGTAAGTGTTCGCGTTTAATTTTTAATAACATTTTAAAAATCTATTATTTATTTTTTTTTATTGATATTTAATTTTTAATTACAAAAATAAGAAATAGAAACAGCACAAACGCAAACGTTTGTCATTATTATTTATTTTTATTATCCGTTTTTTCCAACTTTTTCGGGTTTTCAGAAATAATTCAATTAATAAAGAAGTTTGTGTTGTTTTTCTACACAAGAATTTAATTAATTAAATGTAAAATCTGAAAGCAATTAATTTAGTTTTTATTTTTAATATTTAAATACTTGTCATGCCATTTAAATCTAAATTCCTAAAAAATGGGGATCTTGTCATAATATTTTATGCATTAGCTAACACCAAAATTTCATCTTTTACCCAATTTTAAATTTGTTAATAAGGGTTTTTTTTGTTTAGCAGTGTATTTTTCAATTAGTATTTTTTGCTTTATTTATTAATTTATGTTCATTGAAATCATGTTTTTTATTTCATGAATTTATTAATTCTATATCTAAAGGTTTCTAAATTATTGAGTCAAAAGCACAACTGTGAGGACTGTGCTGATGAATTTTGAAGGGAATCATTTTTCATCTCTACCCTTTTGATATCTGTCCTAATTTGTTGGAATTTTCTTACGAGTTTGAGTCGTCCTGCCATCATTCATCTACTTTAGTTTCACATTTTTGCACTTGTTCCAAGTTCCGCTTTGTTGAGCCATCTCTGACTGGTTCAACCAATACATTAAACACTAACAGGCAGAATGGATACAGATGATGATGACTTTTACAATGAGAATACCCCCGATGAAACTGAAGAGGAGGAAGAGGAGGACATGGTGGCTGAGAGTAGTAGCTCCAGTAAAAACAAGTTGGCTGCTAAAAATAAACGAGGCCGAGGCGAAGAAGACGAGGACGATGATGACGGATTCGATGCCCACCACATCGAGACCAAGCCATTAGGGAAAGATGGTGAGGATGAGGATGAAGAGGATTATCTGCATGAGGTTTTGTCGCCCGATGAGGTCGTCAAACATATGAATGACTGCATCAAAGAAGTTAATGTCATTCTTCAGGTTGGTTGGCTGGCTGGCTGGTTGGTTGGTTGGTTGTGATGAGTGGTAGTGTGCTAGAGAGTGATTATGAAGATGATTAAGAGGATGATCATCATAAAAATGAATGACAACTGAATGAAATAAATTGGTAAAAGTAAATTATGATGCCTACAATCATTGCCAGCTTCCTACCACAATAACCCGCATCTTGCTTAACCATTTCAAGTGGGATAGGGATAAACTGATGGAACGGTCAGTTGGATGTGAGAATGCATGTGTTTGCGTGTGTGTATGTGTCTGTGTGTGTTCGTTGGGGCCACTTGTTGGGGTTTGTTGGTCATTGAGTTATTTAATCACTTGGTCAGTTACTATGACGACGATCAAGACAAACTGTTTGCTGACGTCCGCGTAGTCAGTCCATTCAAGATGCCCATCACTAATCCTCCACCTCTCCCTCCGCCACAGTCATCATTGTTGGCAGCACCCGGTGGCAAGTTCAAGGTCAGATTCAATGTCATTTTTGTGGGGCCCATGTATGTGGGCGTTCTGTTGAGGGGTTGTTTTTCAGTGCTTTTGATTAATAATTATGATGTGACGAGGATGAAGATGATGATGATGATGTGATGATGATGATGATGGTGATGATTTGGAAGCAGAAAGGTAGCAAGCAGACACAGCCAGTACCAGCTCCTTCATCATTTCCTCCAGTGTCATCTCATCTAAACCAATCAACCGAATGCGAGATTTGTTTCCTGCCAGTTCTGCCTAATGTATGTTTCTTCTCGTTATTGTCATCATACTTCTCGTTAATGTCATCTTGCTTTTTTGTTGTTGCCATCGTCGTCGTTTGTGTCATAGACATGGTTTTGGAGTTGATTATCAGCCTCTTCATCGTCATCAACTTCTTCTTATTCATCTTCATCATCTTCTTCTTCACCATCGCGTCATCTTTTTGAAGTTAATCATCAGCTTCTTTGTCATTGTCATTAACTTCTTCTCTTCTTCTTCATCATCCCCATCTTCATCATCATCTTCTTCATCATTTCCTCCTCTATCATCATTTTGAAGTTGATCATCAGCTTCTTTGTCATCATCATTAACTTCTTCTTCATCCCCATTTTCGTCATCTCTTCCTTTATCGTCTCCCTCCTTCATCATCTCTTCCCCCATCATCTTCTTCATCGTCATTTTGAAGTTGATGACGGGACTGCAGTGTGGACACACGTTCTGCGCTTCTTGTTGGAGCAAGTACCTCACCACGAAAATTATGGACGAGGGAATGGGGGAAGTCTGTGATGATGATGATGATGACGATGATGATGGTGATGTGGTGATGATGATGATGTGGTGATGATGATGATGTGGTGATGATGATGATGGGGTGATGATGATGGGGTGGTGGTGCTGATGATGCGGCTATAAAGATGACAATGTGGTGATGGTGATGATGTTGTGGTGATGATGATGATGATGTTGTGGTGATGATGTGATGATGATGATGATGAAGATGATGTGATTGTGGTGATGAAGATGATGTGATTGTGGTGATGAAGATGATGTGATTGTGGTGATGAAGATGATGTGATTGTGGTGATGAAGATGATGTGATTGTGGTGATGAAGAGGATGATAATTTTGCGTCGTTAATATTTTCTACTATTGTATGATCATTAATGCCATCTCTTTTATTCTTAAATTTATTATCATCGTCATCTTAGTTTTACATTCTTCTTCGCCATCATCATCTTGTCGTTGGCATTATCTTTATTTGATCACCATCATCATCATTGACACCCGGTATATCATCACACTGTCCATTGACACCCGGTATATCATCACACTGTCCATTGACACCCGGTATATCATCACACTGTCCATTGACACCCGGTATATCATCACACTGTCCATTGAGACCTGGTATATCATCGTACTATCATCACTTTATCATTGATATCGCGTATCATCAGATGATTTCTTGTGCAGCACATGGTTGTGATATCCTGGTAGATGATGAGATGGTTATGTAAGTAAAGTTGTTGTTGTTGTTGTTGATGGCGATATTGATGTTGATGCTGTTGTTGTTGATGTTGTTATTGACGATGTTGTTGTTAATGTCTTTCGTCAATCATTATTATCGTTTCAAATTCTCCTTATTATATCTATGACTCACGCTGCGATCGTAGCGTCACTAGCCACATCATCATCCTCATCTTCATCGTTATCTTCTTTATAATCATCATCATCGTCTCCACCATCATCGTCGTCGTCGTCGTCACTGACAGGAAATTGGTTACAGAGCCCAACGTCAAACTGAAGTACCAACAACTGATTACCAACAGTTTTGTCGAGGTGACGGCTTGTCATTCATTCATTCATTCCATTCATTCATTCCATTCATTTATTCATTCCATTCATTCATTCCATTCATTCATTCATTCCATTCATTCATTCCATTCATTCATTCATTCCATTCATTCATTCATTCATTCCATTCATTCATTCAATCATTTATTCATTTGCACATTCGTTCATTCACTAATTCGATTTTACATTCACTAATTCATTTATCTTTTGAAATCTTATTAAATAACTCATTCATGTATTCATTCATATATCCATTCATTCATTCATTCATTCATTCATTCATTCATTCATTCATTCATTCATTCATTCATTTAAACGTTTGAATGGTACACTTCTCAGCAAGGCATGCACGCACACAAACATACACACATACAAACACACACCGCACACATACAGGTATACAACACACGCGCAAACACACACACACACATACAAACACACACACAGTGCAATAGATTACTGCGCTGGTGCACAGCTCCTAACTGCAGTTTCGTCATCAAGGTTCAACACTCAGATGCCAGGCCTGTCAGGTGCAAGTGTGGCAATGTTTTCTGGTTAGTTACTACTGATTGGCTGGTCGGTCGGTCGGTCGGTTGGTTTATTGGTTGGTTGGTTGGTTGGGGCCTACTGCTGATTGGCTCTGGTCTGATGGGCTGGTTAATAGCTGATTTGTCGTATGCTGATTAGTTGATTGATTGGTTGCATGCTGATTGGTCCTTAGCTGATTGGTTGGTCGTTGATTAGTTGATTGGCTGGTTGTATGCTGATTGGCTAATTGATTGGGGCTGGTTAATTGGTTGAATTGTCATCTTCTTCCTCTTCACCAGTTTTGCTTGCGGTGAAAATTGGCACGACCCTGTCCAATGCAAGTGGCTAAAAAGGTGGATTAAAAAGTGCGATGATGACAGTGAGACTAGTAACTGGATTGCTGCTAACACTAGGGTCGGTTGGCTGGTTGGTCGGTTGGCTGGTTGGTTGGTTGGTCGGTCGGTCGATCAGATGGTTGACTGGCTTGTGGATTAGTTTGTTGAATGATTGATCGTTTGATTGATTGATTGATCGATCGGTCGATCGATTGATTCATTGATTGATTGATGGATCGGTTGATTGATGGATTGATGATCGTTTGATTGATCGTTTGATTGATCGTTTGATTGATCGTTTGATTGATCGTTTGATTGATTGATCAACTATTTTGGCCAATCAGGAGTGTCCAAAATGTCATGCAACTATAGAGAAGGACGGAGGTTGCAACCACATGCTGTGCAAGAGATGTAAATTTGATTTCTGCTGGGTTTGCCTTGGCCCCTGGGAGCCTCACGGGTCGTCCTGGTTTGTTCGTGTTGTTGTTGGTTGGTGGTGTTGTTGTTGTTGTTGGTTGGTGTTGTTGTTGTTGTGTTGGTGTTGTTGGTGATGTTGTTGTTGGTTGGTTGTTGTTGTTGTTGTTGGTGGTGGTGGTGTTGGTTGGTTGGCTTTGTTGTTGAGCTGTTTTGTTGCTGTTGTTTTATAGTGTCGTTGTTGTTGTCGGTGGTGGTGTTTCCTTTTTGTTGTCAGGCTGTTTTTGTTGCTACTGGTGTCGGTGTTGCTATCAGCTGAGCAAACCTCGGCCCTGTCCTTCAAGGCACGTGTCGTTGTTGCTGCTGACGTATAGTGTTTGTTATAGTTTCAATGAATTAGTTAATTAATGGTTTAATTAGGTATAATTGCAACCGGTATGATGAGGACGCCGCCAAGAAAGCCCGAGATGCCCAAGAGGCTAGTCAGACGGTGATGATGATTGTAGTGATAGCGGTAGTACTGATAATGATCACGATGGTGATGGTGAAGATGGTGATGATGATAATGATGATGATGACGACGACGATGATGAGGATCGTTTTCCACCACCACGTTCGTCGTCATTGGGGTCACTGCAACTGGCACCATCATCGTCACCATCATCGTCATCATCATCTCAATCATTATCATCATCGCCTACGTCATCTTCATCATCATCATCACCGTAGAAGTCGCGAGCTGCCCTACAACGCTATCTGTTCTACTGCAATCGCTACATGAACCATATGCAGAGTCTCAAGTTCGAACACAGGGTAAGCCAACACAGTTACAGACACACACACATATACACGCATACATACATACATGCATAGAAACATACATGCATACACACACACATACACACATGCATACATGCAGTTATACACAAGCGTTAGTCAGAAGATGGAAGAAATGCAGCAACATAACATGTCCTGGATCGAAGTTCAATTTTTAAAGAAGGTCAATCAATTAGACAATCAATCAATTAATTAATTAGCCAATTAATCAATCAATTAGCCAATCGGTTTATTATCTGTCAATCAGTCTGTTAACCAGTTAATCGAGTGATCAATCTATCAATTATTCAATTGTTTAACTGATGAACTGAATAATCAAAAGTTTCATTCAACTGTCTAGCCAATATTTTATCCCTCGATCATCAATCAACTTTCAAATTAACCTTTCAACCAGCTATCCAACTAACTATTAATCCTAATAATAATCACTATCAATCAAATAATCCACCATCAATTAGCCAACCAACCAACTATGAACTAACCATCCATAAAACCTCTCAATCAATCAGCCATCCATCCAACAAGCTCTCAATCAATCACACAATTTAATATCAAAGAACCTATCAAC